ACGTCGATCCCCGAGAAAACGTTCAGGAGTAGGAACTGTGGGTTCCGGAGGTGGTAACACTATAGCAGGAGTGGTGGCAGGAGATTGACTGGCAGGTGCAGCTACTGGATTGTAACTGGCGGAGGGATCCTGGTCCGCGGAAATAGAGAGGGAGTGAAGACGCCCTTGTAGCTGGAAGTGTCCTTGCTGTAGATCCTTCACTGCTTGGGTAAGTGCTGTCATCTGTTGGCACAGGGCCTCTAGTGCAGAAGCGCCTCTCTCGGCCTCGAACATACTGGCTGGATGATACTATCACGTACCTAGTGATGGAGGCCAATGGAGAGAGGGCTTCCCTTGTGGCTCAGTTCCGAACTCCCCTGAGAGTGGGACAGCAGGAGTCTGGCCCAAAGTTGCACAGGTCGCCTGTAGGAGTGCTGGTTGGTGGTCCACTCAGAAGCACAGCTGGTGCACAGAGATAGGTCTGCAGACAGGAGGCGCCTGTGCGTGGTATGTAAGCCCTTCCAGGATTTAGATGTTTACTGGGTAGTCGGTTCAAGCCAAGGTCAGGTACCAGGTGGGAATCAGAGTATGTGGTCTGGTATGGTTAAGGAAGAGAGGGGTGCTCGCTCGTCTTCCCCCTTTCCTGACCTGCCGGGCTGCATGCTTGGATAAGGGTCTGGTATGGATTTTGGGGGGAACCCCCTTGCCTTTTTTTTTTTTAATTTTAGCGTGGGGGTTTCCCTCAACATCCATACCAGACTTGAAGGGCTTGGTATGGAAGGGGGGGCCCAAACGTGTTTTTTTTTTTAATTTAATTACCAAGCGATGCCGGCAATTCTTTTTACATTCAGCTGTCAGCGGGGAACCCCACCAACAGCTGAAACATTAAAGAATGTTTTTAGTAGCTGTGCGGTATCTTACCGCATACTCCGATGCGGTAAGATACCACTTAGTCAATTGTCCCCTCTGTTCGAAGTTCATGGTTGAACTTTCGTTAGGTTCCAATGTTCAACCGTGAACTGAACAGGAGGGTGTTCGACCCATCAATAGATACTAGTACATTATGTAGGACTTACCTTAAAATGAAGTCCTATTTGCACAGTTCAACAATCTTAGCTAGTGCCTGTTTCTACTGAGTGGTGTGGAGGATTGTTCAAGGCAAGCTCCCTTTGAGCAGCGACTTTACTTTATACCATATTCAGACATCTCATGAAAGAAACATGGGACCTGCAGTTGCTTATCTCTTCTAGTCTCCTGCGTTTATCTACTATATCTGAATATGGGTTTATGACTCTTGGACTGTCCTCCTGAACCCATAAAAGCATGAATCTCCTTTCTATATGCTGAGTAAGGCCTAGTTTACACTGGCTTTGAAAGCTGGCGTTTGAGTTGCGTTTTTAACACTATTCAAACGCCTATGCAAATGATACTATGAAAACATGAAGCGTCAGTGTTGCAATGATTCAAAATGAAGCCTCGTGTCAAGTCAGGAGGAGTTTGAAGCCTTTCACGCCTCCTATTCAAGTCTATGTGACACTCCTCAAAACGCACTGGCAGACGTTTGCGAGTCATTTACAGTAGGGTTGCAGAGCGTCATAACCTTTACAATTTATTTAGTTTGTGGTGTGGTTTTAACGCTTGTCAAATGCTTATAAAATGCTTCACAACTGCACATAGGGCGTTCGGGGAGCGTGTTTAACGCTTGTATAAAGCCAGGCTAAAGCTCATTAATAGCTGTCTAACGCCCATACTAAAGCTCATTAATGCCTGTCTAACAGGCATACTAAAGCTTATTAACGCTTGTCTAACTCCTATACTAAAGCTATAGGAGCATTTGGTAAGAGTTAGAAATTTAGTCAAGTGTGAACAAGCCCTAAGTGATGTGCCACTTTTCTCCCGCCTGCCCCAAAAGCTTCTGCTCAACTTATGTAAAAGCACTCTATGGAAGAGTGGGGTGATGCTTGGATATTTATTATTTATTATAGTCTGGCCTTCCATCAACTACCCCACAAAAAAACATTCAGCTCATGATATTATCGATATAATGTGAGTAGCAAAGGTCAAGTAGTGGATTACATTTAATTTTTATGTCATTTTTGAAAAAACACATCATATGTGTATTGCGAGATCTTCTAAGAAATATTCAAGTATGAAACAAAGAAAATGAGATATATAAATATGTCAGAATATATTAGATCTGTGCAGCATAAGGTTATATATTACTAAAAGGCTAGCAGATATCTTTAGCTAAACAATCCTACTTTGTGTGTCATCTCCAAAGAGGCTACAGTATATAATCCAGGACCTGGAATGAGGAGCAACAGGATGTGAAGGACTAGAAGGAAATAGATGCTTACAGTAGACCTCCATGCAAAACAGCTTAATACACAGTTTAAATGCATGTGTGCTTACGGTTTACCTGCTAAGCAATGGGGGAGATTCACTAATACTGGTGCACTCAGAATCTGGTGTAGGTGTGCATAGTAACCAATCAGCTTCAGGTTGTATTGTCAACGTTTCATTGAACAAGCTGAAGTTAGAAGCTGATTGGTTATTATGCACAGCTGCACCAGATTCTGAGTGCACCAGTTTTAGTAAATTTCCCCCAATGTGTAATTAAGTGATGTTAATGTTGTCATTTACACAGCTCAGCAATATTGCACAACTAGGCAAGTTATTTCTTGGTTCAGCAATGTGCCTTCATATGACACCTCTCTGTCTTCATCTTGCTCATTAACTGATGAATAAGCATCACCACTCTCTCATTAGCAGGAATGTGGACAAGGATGGGGAAATTTGAATTCTGAATGTGTAAATTACAGGATCAACAGATCAGATTGCAAATCATTGGATAGGTTGTACATATATGTACTTTAATTATACATTTACCTGGGGTTCCACTGTAACACAGAAATCTAGTGCAGAGATCTGCTGCCCTCTACTGTCTGAATTTGTAAATAGCTTTTTTTTTGTATGTCACTTCCTGTCTATTTTTTTTTTTTTTTTGGGAAGGGGGGAGGGTTAAAAAAAAAAAAAAAAAAACCCCTGAAAGTAGGACGTGGAGAGAGAAAGAAAGTCTCAGTCATTTGTCCTCTCCATGCTTCTAAATTCTGGACCAGAAGATACTATTATGCATGTTCTAAAAGTTTAACTGCAGCTGCCATAGCTTCTGGAGTGTATTTCTGAATCCTTGTGACAGGCAGAGTATCATTGTCCTGTTGTTATTATCTTATATGCATAGTGCCAGATAGCTAGGTCTGTGCTTCCATATGTGTAGTGGTCACATTCCAGTATATCAGTAGGTGAACCTATTTATTGCAATATAGTTTATATGTAATTCCTGCTATTCTAGTTACCCTGTCTCTTCTGGTCTGGGATTCTATATCTAGTTAAAGCTCAGGGCTAGTTAACCAGCATAGGCTAGAGCCAGGTTAGGCATCTTATGGCCACTTGTGGATCATTAGCTTATTGGTCCAGTTGCATGTCAGAATAGAAATTACTAGTGAGAGATTAACCACAGAGAAGATAGCCTGACTCTGAGTTCCAGGGCCACACCACAGTTCTTGCCAGTGATAAGCTGCATTCCAGGCTGGTTTGACAACAGTTGGATGATCTACCCATGACCAAAGATCTAGTCCTTAGGTCTCTGACACATAGATGGACACCGCATCACAATCACCCTCAAGGGCCCAGCAACTGGAAGTAGCTTTATATACCCAGGTATGTGCACAATTCCACCAGGACTCCTATCTGGTATTTTGTTGATAATACCTATTTGTACATTAAATGAACGTACTGTTATTGATCTCTTCCTCTATACAGCTTGTATAATTTTTATTTTAATGTGTATCTATATACTTATGGTTGATGTTATATGTTGGTTGCAATGGTTCTTCTGCTCCTAATTACTTTTGACATTACTGGTTAATTTCCCATAAAGGAAATCCCCTCTGTTCACAGAGGCCCTGTTCTAGGTGGAGGACTGCCAACTTTGTTATCAAACCCACTCTTCAATTTAGTGAATGTTCTAGCTCTCCTATATACCTTGGGGTTTAGCAAAATATCCTGTTTGGGGAGGGTAAGTTCTCATAGCTCCCCAAAAGATAGCTACACCAGTATATTACAACATATAACAGACATACGTATATGATTCTGTACTTCTTCATGCAAAGCCATATCATGTCATGTACAGGTGAAACTTGAAAAAATTAGAATATTGTACAAAAGTTCATTTATTTCAGTAATGCAACTTAAAAAGGTGAAACTAATATATGAGATAGACTCATTACATGCAAAGCAAGATAGTTCAAGCCGTGATTTGTCATAATTGTGATGATTATGGCTTACAGCTCATGAAAACCCCAAATCCACAATCTCAGAAAATTAGAATATTACATGCAATCAATAAAACAAGGATTGTACATAGAACAATATCGGACCTCTGAAAAGTATAAGCAGGTCAGCAGTCTTTCCCATGATTGTGATTCCTACTGAACCAGACAGAGACCATTTAAAGGCTCAGGAACCCTTTTCAGGTGTTATGGCTTAATTAGCTGATTAGAGTGGGACACTTTGAGCCTAGAATATTGCACCTTTTCACAATATTCTAATCTTCTGAGTTTGTGGATTTGGGGTTTTCATGAGCTGTAAGCCATAATCATCACAATTATGACAAATCACGACTTGAACTATCTTGCTTTGCATGTAATGAGTCTATCTCATATATTAGTTTCACCTTTTAAGTTGCATTACTGAAATAAATTAACTTTTGCACGATATTCTAATTTTTTGAGTTTCACCTGTATTTAATACAATTTGTATTTATTTATTTTTTTTACCAAATTATAAAAAAAAAGATAAAAGCCAAGTATTCAATACTATAAATGTGAATTATCTAACGTGAAACAGTTTAGAAGAGATATGCATTCTATAGCCTTTTCTGACACTCGACCTTTTCTAGAAACCATAAAAAAAATAATAAAACCAGGCAGCCTGTGCAGTATTCAAAGATGGCTTCTTACCTGTTCTTTTCATGCAGTTTGTTAATCTCTTGACTCTGCAACAGAAGTTCCTTCTCCAGTTTGTTGGTTGATAAAGAATTTTCCAGCAGCTGAATTTCCAGTCTATTTGTGTGGTTCAAAACCTGCAATGTATGCTTATGTTTTAAGATCATGCTTCATGCTAACTTCTTCTTCTACTATTTTCCAGAATCAACAAAATGCTCTTGTGGGCTTATTTTTACACTGTCAGTAGGTTCTACATATTAAGTGTTATGATAACTCAATTTTCTTTGGGTTTTCTTAAAAAGTTAAAAAGGTAATGATGTTTTTGTTAAACATTTACTGTTATTTTTTTAAAAAAAATTTTTAAATGGAATTTTATAACAAAGCATTTTCTTTGTGATATAGGGATTAGCCCTGGTTCACACTGGATCCGACTTTGAAATCCTGCGACTTCACTTGACGTCACACTATTTTAAAGCCCCATGTTAGTGCGATTTCAGGTGTGACTTGGATGACATCTGTGCGGCTTCATGCCTTTGAAACTGTCAAGTCGCATGACAAGTCACACTGGTGTGAACCAGGACTTAATCAGTAACCTTTGTCTTAGGGTAACTTCAAAATGAACCCTTTTGTAAGCAGAATGCATTGTTGTCTGCATGCTTAAAGCGGAGTTTCAGTCATTTTTGTAAAAATTAAAAGTCAGCAACTACAAAAACTGCAGCTGCTGACTTAATAAACAAACACTTGTCTGTCCACAGAGGTGTGCTTACCCGAAGGGGGGTGCCTGGGACTGTCTTCGGTCCCCTGCATCTTAGCTGTGACAGCTTGCGACTTCACAGTCGGGTGCCCACTACACATTGTGATAGGTCCCGCAGTCTTCTGGGACCCATGCAGTGTCCCAGAAGACTGCGGGGAGTGAGCAGGAGAACCAGGTACGAAAAACCAACACCAGATACCCGCTCTCCCTCTCCCAAAAAGATTGCCAAACGTGAAAGAGATGGGGGAAGGAGGCCTTAAAGCAGAACTTCCCCTGTTTGGTGGAGTTCCGCTATAAGTTAAATTTAGCAGTGTCAGCATGTGCTAGATCACTATGGAGTTTATTTATGAAAACTGGAGAGTGCAAAATCAGGCTAAGTTCTGTATAGGAACAAATCAGCTTCTAACCTCAACTTGTTCAGTTAAGCTTTGGCAATAAAACCTGGAAGCTGATTGGTTTCTATGCACAAGCAAGACTGATTTTGCACTTTCCAGCTTTAGTGGAAAAAAACCCATCTACTTTCACACCTCATTTTTTTTTTTATACTTTTTAGGACCTAGAAGATTTTTATTTGGTAAACTTTTAATAAAACTCCTGCTCTATTGTTAATAATTTTTTCATGTTTTCTTTTTTTTTAAAATATTTTTAGTATACTACATTGCCATCAGTATTTAACCACTTGCCATCCAGAGGATGTACCCCCCTTAATGACCAGCCCTCTTTTGCTTTTGGCACTGCACTATTTCAACTGATAATTGCGTGGTCATGCAATGCTTTACCAAAACGAAATTTACATCCTTTTTTTCACACAAATAGAGCTTTCTTTTGGTGGTATTTGATCACCTGTGTGCTTTTTATTTTTCGTGCTAATAAAAAAAAGACTGAAAATTTTGAAGAAAAACAACATTTTTTACTTTCGGGTATAAAAAATATATAGTAAACTCAAAGTTAATCATAAATTTATGTATGTATAAAAAATGTATTCTGCTACATGTTTTTGGTAAAAAAAAATCCCAATAAGTGTATATTGATTGCTTTGTGTGAAAGTCATAGCATCTACAAACTATGGTATAGATAATGGAATTTATGCCATTTTTTTTGCTATACAGCACTGCACTAGTTTGACTGACAATTGCATGGTTATGCAATAGAGTACATAAATTTAATCTATGTCCTTTTTTTCACACAAATAAAGCTTTCTTTCGGTGATATTTGGTCACCTGTGCGCTTTTTATTTTTGGTGCTATAAACAAGATAAGTTTTGAAAAAAAACATTTTGAAAAAAAACACAATATTGTCTCATTTCTGCCATAAAAAATATCCAAAACACTAAAATTTTTTCATAAATTTAGGTCAAAATGTATTCTGCTACATGTTTTTGGTTAAAAAAAATCTCAATACGTGAATATTGATTGCTTTGTGTGAAAGTTATAGCATTTACAATCTATGGTATAGATAATGGAATTTACACAGCTTTTACTTTGACTGCCTATCACATTCCTTGAGCTGCTAAAATACCAAGACAGTACAAACACCCCCAAATGACCCTTTTTGGAAAGTAGACACCCTAAGCTATCTGCTGAGAGGAATATTGAGTCCATGGAAGATTTATTTTTTTCCACAAGTTTTTGGAAAATTACAAAAAAACATATTTTTTTTTTTTTGTCATTTAAATTATATATTTCTCCCATAAACCATGGGTATATGAAGAATTACTCCCCAAATACATTCTGCTACTTCTACCAAGTATGGGGATACCACATGTGAGATTTTTTAGGAGCCTAGCCATATACAGGAGTCTGAAATCCATTGACCACTTTGAAAGCCTGAAGATGCGTAACTGCCTCATTTCACTTCCTCACTACCTATCACAGTTTCGGAGGCCCTGAAGTGCCAGGATAGCACCAAACCCTCCCAAAATGACCCTTTTTGGAAAATAGACACCCCAGGGAATTTAAAAAGAGGCATGGTGAGTATTTTGCAGATCTAATTTTTTTTCACAAGGTTTTGCAATTTAAAAAAGAAAAGAAAAAATATGTTTTTGTTTTCTTTCTTCAAACGAGATCTGCAAAATACTCACCATACCTCTTATCAAATTCTTTGGGGTGTCTACCTTCCAAAAAGGGGTCATTGGGGGGGGGGGGGGTTTGGTGCTATCCTGGCATTTCTGGGCCTTTGAAACTGTGATAGGTAGTCAGGAAGTGTAATGAGGAAATAAATCCCTTTAAAAGCCTAAAGGCGATTATTGGATTTTGGGGTCCTGTACTTGGCTAGACTGCCAAAACGTCTCTCACATGTGGTATCCCCATACTCAGGAGAAGTAGCAAAATGTATTTTGGGGAGTAATTCCACATATACCCATGGCATGTGTGAGCAATAAATCATTTAAGTGACAATTTTGTGTAGAAAAACTTTTTTTTTTGTAATTTTCCAAAAAACCTGTGGTAAAAAATTAAATTCTTCTATTGATTCAACATGCCTCTCAGCAAATATTTTGGGGTGTCTACTTTCCAAAAAAAAAAAGGGTAGTTTTGGGGGAATGGGGGCATTTTATGCCCAGCATTAGAAGTTTATGCCACACATCATTCACTCTTCTAACCACCTGAAGACCAAGCCTTTTCTGACACTTTTTGTTCACATGAAAAAAATCTGTATTTTTTGCTGGGAAATTACTTTGAACCCACAAACGTTATATATTTTTTTTTAAAGCAGACACCCTAGTGAATAAAATGGTGGGTGCTTCAATTTTTTTATGTCACATAGTACTCGCGCTGTGATTTTTCAAACGCAAATTTTTTGAAAAAAAAACACACTTTTTTTTACTGTTAATGCACAAAAACACAATATATTGCGCATGCCTCGTGCAATGGGGACAAACTGCATACATTTCAATATCCATAGGCAATGTTTTAAAAACCTTTACAAGCTACCATTTTAAATTTACAATGGAGGTCTAGTTCTATAATTACTGCCCTTGATCTGACATTCGCGATGATACCTCACATGCATGGTGCAACCACTGTTTATATACCGGCACAGGGCCAACGCTCAGGCACGCAGGTGCACATGAGCGAGGGGAGGCCTGTAGCGCAGCCTGTAGCAGTATTTCTGCTATAGGGCAGTCAGGAGGCAGTGAAAGAAGCGGTTTGCGTTACGGCGCTGCATTACTTTAACTGACAATTGCGAGGTCATGCAACGCTGCACCCAAATTAAATTTACTGACTATTTTTCCCACAAATTGAGCTTTCATTTGGTAGTATTTGATCACCTGTGCTGTTTTTTATTTTTTGTTCTATAAAAAAAAAATATTGACAATTTTGAGATAAATTTTGAGATAAAACAAATATTTTGGATTTTTTACTATTAAACATGTCCATTAAAATAAAATTAAAAATCAAACTTGGGCCAAAATGTATTCTGCTACATGTCTTTGCTAAACAAAAATCCCAATAAGTGTAAATTAATTGGTTTATGTGAAAGTTATAGCATTTACAAATGGCGGTATAGATACTCGATTTCATTTCATACTAATAATGGCGGCGATCAGCAACTTATTGTGGCGATCGGCGACTTGTAGCGGGACTGCAGCGGGCATTCTGACATAGGGGGAACTAACTTGGTGTCACTGACATCCCCAGTGACACCAATACAGTGATCAGTGCTAAAAGAAAAAGCACTGACAGCGTACTAAGGGGCAATGTACATGAGGGGCAATCACTAGGGGGCGGGGGGTGTGCTTCACTGTAAGCACACACACTGCTCTGGATGGCACTGCTCAGCCATCCAGAGCAGTGTGCCCAAACTGACAGGGAGGAAGGCTGTTGGTAAACAAAGCAGCACTCCTCTCCGTCGGTGATCACCAGTAATCACCTACCGGGACCTGGTGATTGACACCCACAGCCGCGAATGGCGGCGCGGGTAGGGCTCGCGCGTGTCCCTGCCCAGAAATGCAAAATGATGTTTTATATATTTTGCGCACAGGGGCCGCCCTGTAGCAGTATATATGCTATAGGGCGGTCCTTAAGAGCACATGTCATTGCAGATGCAAGTGCAGTCGAAAGTTGGCAGTGTTTATCTGCAAGCTAGAGCTTTATATTTTACACTGAAGCCTTCATCCTGTATGTGATCCCCAGCTGACATAGGAATTACGTGGTTTGGGATTGCTGTGACTAGTTTCTGATCATTAGTTGGTTTCTAGCTCTGGGGAGACATTTATTAACATATCTATTAACAAATTCCTAGAATGGGGCATTGTGCTGGGGAATGTTATTAAACAGATAGCAGATAGACAAAAGTTAAAGCATTAAGGCAATTTTTTTTCATAGCAGATAGAAAAGTGTTACTAAAGGCACATTTTTTTAAAATTTATAT